GTGTGTGTGTGTGTGTGTGTGTGTGTGTGTCTGTGTGTGTCTGTGTATTTATCGTGACAATAGATACCTTAATATGGTAAATACCTCTTGTAAGTTGTGAGCAAAGTGTATATGAACTGAGATCTTGGTTGAGGCAGTGGGATTGGCTACCGTGTTTTCATTGTACTAAATACTGGTATATCCAATCTGTGGAAAGTGACCACTGCTGCTTGATTGTCATGAATATTTGAAATATAGTAACTGTGAATTGCTGTTTTGCACGATCTATGCGCATCTAGTATGTATTTGTGAGAGTATTGCTGGCAGATTCTAGTGCAGAATATATTTGTGCACGTTCGATTCGACTGGAATTTAAACAACACAGTCGAGTAACTGAAACTACCGTTTTATCGTCGCCACATAATATCAGTCATTATGAAAAATTCGTTAATTGAACCCATTTCGCAAGCATACCTGCTGAAGTAGCGTGAGTTATGCGGGAGTGTGTCTGGTGTTGTTTGCCATTCGTCCCATCGTCGGAATCTTCGCAGTGTGCGTCGTCACCCTCGGAATCATCGACCAGTACATTGTCGAACAGTACCATCCTCAGTATACTTATGATACTTTTAATTAGTATACATTATACTTCATATAGTTAGTGTTTATACCGTGTACTTAGTATGCTCAGATACTAAATATATATATATATATATATATATATATTGCTTCTAGTGAGTCGACCTTCTTTCAATACACACGAAAGCGATATTTACATATTTTTAATCGAGTTCTGAGCAAGTTGCTATATAACCGACCCAGGGCTTTTTGGCGCCAAAAAAATTTATGTCGTATATATTTTCCGTTTCAAATCAGGTTTTACTCTTCTTTCGAGAGAGCGTATTTCACATTGTACTAAAAAAAATTATAAACGCGAAATATTGATGCATGTATGTGTGTACTGTACATACTGTACTGCTCGGAGTTGTTCTACAACAGAAAGAGCGTATTTAGAACATCTTTTATTTTAAATTGTGGAGGGGTAATTTTTTTTAAATTAAAAAGAGAAGTACGGCTGGGATG